CCCTCCTCCAGGCACACATTCAAAATGTAGCCCAGTTTTGCCCGACATGCTTTGAAGCATTGTAGAAATGAGGAGTCCTGCATCTTCCTTGTGTCTGGCTTCTTTGGCTTGTCGCTGACTCCTTGGGAGTCGTCTTTATTTGCCTGTGTGGCCTCATGCGTGTTTCCATTGCCCCGTAGCCTTCTATGGTGTGGCCTGTGCATTCACTCATATTCTAGCTCCTGGGGAGTGGGGCAGGGCCTCCACTTTGCAACTCTTGAGAGTGGTGCCAGGATGCAAAGGTCCAGTTCTCCTGGGGCATAGGAGGTTTCCCTGGGTCACACACCTAGAGGTGGAATCCCTGGGACACAGGGATGGGCCTTTCCAAAAACCATTCTGGAGCCATTGTTCTGAACTGACCTTTCAGTAGCAGGATGTGACATCCTGGTTGAACAATACCTTTGCCAGCAGTTGAGATGGCCAAATTTTAAACTTGTCAGCCATGCCTACATATACTATAAGTGTGTATGTATGTGAGTAAAATAATAGCAATTATTATTCGCAACCCCTTTTTGCCCACACATCCTTGGGCATTTTCCTGCCCCTGAATAGTACCCCAAGGAACCCAAACTTCTTCCCGTGCAAGCTCTCTTTACTCAATCATGGCTACTTCATCTCTGCGCCGCCCTCTGTGTGCCCTGGACCCAAGAGGCAGCAATGCAAGTGGGTCAGTCAGCCACAGAGGCAATCCATGCACAGAAGGTAACATTCCCATGCCTCCATAAGCTCTCATGGAGGAAGGCCACAGGAGCACACTGGGAGAAGACCCTGTCTCTGAGGAGGCACAGACCTAGAACTCTAGAACTCACGCTGGACCCTGACTTGCAGAGCTGTGAGGAGCAGATCTCTATTTCTTATTCTTCCAGGCTGTAATAATTTGTCAGAACAACCCATAATGACTAGAAACCAGGAAGGGCAGAGCAGAGACTGACCTCAACAGCCCCTAAGTACCTACATAGAATTCTCCAGACTCCTGGGATAGGGGGGTGAAGGTCAGAGGGACACAGATGTGGGGAGGACAGGGGAGCCCACCAGGAAGGAAGAGACCCCAGAGGAATGGGGAGGAAAGGGGGAGGTTGGAAATGCAGAAGGAAAAAAAAACGACCCTTTTGCTTGCACTTGAGTATACTATATACTATATCCTATGCTATACTCCCAAAGCGCTTTCAGTTTCAAAGCCCCTCCACCCTCGTGACTGCTTATGAAAGAAACCTCTTGAAAGAATAAGTTTGCCAAATAAAATACAGCATGACCAGTTAAAGCTGAATCCCAAATAAATGTTGAATATTATTTTTAACGCAGGTGTGTGCTAAAATGTTACGTGGGAAACACTTGGGCTGAAAGATTGTTGATTATTTGAGGTTCACATTATGAGAACATATTGACTATTTGCTCAGCCTGGCTACCCTGGGAAGGAAACCTGTGCCGGTGCCATCTCCAGGTTACTGGAAAAGCTGGATAGCACCCCAGAGGGGAGTATGGGGTCTGCCTGGCACTGGGACCTGGGCTCCTCGCTGCACACAGCTGCCACCTCTGAGAGCTAATTGTTGAACAGAGCTGCAACCTGACATCTGGGGCATGTGTCAAACCACAACAGAGTCCTTCTTCTCTTTCATCAGGCCGGGCTGCGGGGAGCTGCCAGAGCCAGGGAGGGCGGGGGGAGCCCTCACTTCAAAGGCCTCCTCCGCAGAATCCCAACCTCAGGTTTGCTTTGGGCTCAGTGTCTTGAACTCACTTGGCTTTGGGGGCGGAGGTTTGGCTTGTGTGTCTTAAGAACACATTGCTTTTTTTTTTTTCCCACTAGGGAGCAAAAAGCCCTTCACTTAATGGCGCTGCCCTTCCCCGGATCCCCTTACAGCTACCCACTAATCCTATGACAGCCCCAAGCGCAGCATTTGGGTGCTGCTCGCCCCACTCTGCAGATGGAAACATGGACTGACAGAGCGCACTTTGGGGGCTGTTCAGGAGCTCCAGAAGGAGAACAGGGAACACAGAAGGACACTTTTGACATTTTCCTGACTTGGAGCCTTGCCAGGCTCTAACATGAGAAAATCACATGACATGCAAAATGGCTCCTGAATCTATGAACCTACATCTTTAGCGCCAATGGCATAAGCAAGCATCCCCCGGCTTCTGCCATCAGCGTATAGGAGGTAGGAGCATCAGACATGAACAGAGACTCCGCCTATCTTCTGGAAGCTTCCCACACATGGGTCCTACAGGCCTGCTCAGTTCTCCTTGGTGTCTGTCATATTCCTCTTTCTATGGCTGGGGCTCAGAGTTGTATTCAAGGGACCTGTCCTCCAAAGCTGCCCAAAGCCCTGGCCACTGTGAGCATGTGCGTCTCAGGAGATTATCAGCTGCGGGCAGATAAAGCAATTTCAGATTCTTCATTCCACCTCTTCCCCAAACCTCCCAGCAACAGCCAAGGCCTCCAGGGGACAGTTCCAAGGACAGTTCTGGGGGACAGTCCACAAGGTTGTGGTGGAGGCAGACAGTGAGGCCAGACTGGCTGCCACATCATTGTAAGCTGGCATATAGACATAGAATGTGGCCTTATGGTTTTGTGGGACTTCCCTTGTAGGCTTTCCATTCCATGCCTGAGTGTGTGTGCACGTGTGTTGGGGCTGCCCTGGGCTCTGTAGACCAGATTTTCTCTTGAGATGTCGCATGGACCTCGAGCTTGATTTCCTGCCTTTCTTGGGGCTGGGAGATGAAGCCATGGGGACACTTTGTAGAGTGAGCGCAGACAGGAGCATGCCTGAGAACAGCACCGGGTGGGATGGATGCTGTGTCTGGCCAGCCCTCCTCCTCCCCTGCAGACAGAAGCATGAGGTCATCCTGACTCTCCACTCTTTTCAAGGGTCACGAAGAGCCGGAGGAGCCATGACTCAGTCCCATCAAGGGCAGGGTGAAACAGTGGTTTCTGGGGCCTCCAGGCCCCTTTCCATCCCCACCCTTCTCCGCTGCTGCAGGGTCCTTGTGATGGAAACTGGGAATTACAGAAGTCCCTGGTGGTGTCAGCATTGGGGTTTGCCTGAGGCTCCTGGCACTGAAGACACCCCGACTGGGCTCTGGCATCTCCTTTCAGCCACGAAGGCTGGGTCTCGCTCCCCGCTCCAGGCACTGTTACAGTCCTGATTCGGCTCCCGCGAGTCCCGCTCTAACAGCGCTCTCTTCTAACCTCCCGTGGCCTTCCTCTGCCCTCTCAACACTCAGTGTCTACCCCGCCACAGGGTACTTTTCCCCAAGCCTGCTGAAGTTGGTTACTGTTTGTGTCTGCATGGTGACCTCCTTAACACAGGTGTCCCCGAGTCCAAATTAAGCCCAAGACTTCCTCGCGACACCCCCAGCTATTCACTGATAGCAGGGTTTGTGGAGACGGCGCTCCCGTGGACTCCTGATGCCTTCTCTCTCTCATCCACTCCACTTGAAAAGACCCACGACAGCAGGGCAGAGGTGGCGGCACGCGCCTTTAATCCCCCCACTCGGGAGGCAGGGACAGGCGGCTCTCTGTGAGTTCGAGGCCAGCCTGGTCTACAAGGGCTAGTTCCACGACAGGCTTCAAAGCTACAGAAAAACCCTGTCTCGAAAAACAAAACAAAAACAAAAAAAAAAGACCCGTGACAAATCCTCACAAATAGATGTGGTAGAAAAGGCAGGTTCCAAGAGATGCAGATCATGGAGATTGATTTATCATTAAATTTGAAACAAGAAAGCAGAGTCTATGAATTTTTAGTGTTTAGGAGAAAAGGAAAAGATCTTTACAGTTGGGCTACCCTCTTTCCCAGAGGGATCTTCTTGTACCATCTACCTCTAATACTGGGACACACCTGTCTTCTGGCTAGGAGGAGGGAAGCGTTAGTTGTCTGTTGTCCTCCGAGCCAGTGGAGAAGGTAATACGAGACAGCATGTAAAAGGATGCTCCATGTCCCTAGGGAAGATGACGAACTTGGAACTTGGAACAAGCAGGCCTGCTGAGGCCTGGCCTGGAAGGGTGCCCAAGCCAGAGCCTCCTGGGAGGCCCCTTGGGCCCTCCTGGGTACCCATCGCGGTCCCACAGCGCCACCTAGCGTCCCTCTGGGAAAACACGGCTGAGCGTTGAGTGAGGTGTGAAACTGATCTGCAGTGAGCAGTCCCTCTGATCTGTGGTGAGCAGTCCCTCCTAACGGGAGGACCAGGACATTCTCCGCCCACCTTTAGCATTGCATCTTTGAGCTTCTCTGTTCCTCTTCTGTGCCCATAACCACTATCCTTGTCCTTTCCCGCTATAAAGTTCTTTGGGGGAAGGCAATGAAGGTTGTAATGAAAACAGGTAAAGCACTCTATTGTATTGCGTACCAAGTGCCATTCTCTAGATCTTCTCTGCACCCAAAAAAGGCTAATCCCTTCAGGAGGGTCATCACTTAAGCCCCAAGCGACACTGAAAGGTGGACATTGCCAAACTCACTTTATGGGAGAGAAACTGGCTTTCAGGAAAGCGAAGTCACGTGCAAACTCACCCTGCCAGTATCAGACAGAGCCGGTGGGTGCCTGGCTCCGTGATGAGAACTGGGCCTCTCACCGTCTTTCTGGAGCTACTGAGAAGGAAAAGAACATAGGTTCTCTTACCACCCAGATACGGGTGCTAAGCCGCTCTGTCGCTCAACAGCCCCAGCATGCAAGGACCCACCTTCATAGCTTTGCCTTGCGCTCTTCCCCGGAAGTGCTCTCTCCCCATGCCACAGCTCAGGTCCCTCCTCCAGAAAGGTCTCCCTGCAGACCTCCAGGTCCCAAGAAGAGGGGCTTGGACACTCCCTGCTGCCTTCCCTAACAAGGCACTGTTCTGTCGTCTTGTTCAGGTGCTCTGCACACGTGCAAACATGCCGGCAATGCTTTGCTATGCATCCCTTCAAATGTGGAACCCAAATCACCTCTTGTGGGATCGGGGCTGATCTGGCTATTTGGGTCTCTGAAGGAAGAGTTAGAAATGGCGGCACGGTTTTCCCTGGCTCTGTCCCTCCTGGGTGTGCCATCTTGAGACGCAGATACCAGGATGATCAGGTTGAGCATCCATAGGAAGGTCTGATAACTTCCACTTCTGTTGAGATCACTGTCAAAGCCAGCATCAACTGGCAAGTGTAAAGAATGGGCCTTCCTTGAACACAGCCACAGTCTTAGAGCAACCGCAGCTAGTATAAGAGAGCAGAGATGAGCGACCCCTCCAAAGCTCTCCCCAGATTTGCAGATTTGCGAGCAAAATAAATATCAGGAAGTTTTGTTGGCAAAGGCGGGATTGATTATGCTGCTGTGCAAAAGTAGGGCGTGGTCCAACTAACTTAGAGGGACAGTTGGGAGTAGCCTCGGAGACCTGAGCGAACACTAGAGGGAAAGGGCGGGAATGCTGAGCAAGCAGGTGTTGAGCTGGGAGGATGTGTGAACTAAATCCTGGAGACTTGATTTCAAGATCTCAGTCTAGCCTTAAATCATCGTGAACGCAAATTGGCCACGGACACGCCCAGTAGCAGGCTGGCCTCACACTGCTAATCACCCTGTCCTTTTCTCCCCCAACCTGGGATTATGGGTTTTCTAAAGTCCTTACATTCATCCACATTGGATTTCATTAAGGGCTCAAGCCCATTGGCCTCCAGCAAGCTAGGCAAACACTCTCTCGTTGAGGTATTGTCCTAGATCAGTTATTTACACTCAGTGACAGATATGTCCTTGTCGGTTTTCAATTCCAAACAGCCTGTTAAAAAAAAAAAAAAAAAGGTATCCACTTGTATTTCCAAGCTCGACCTCCAATGAAAACCTCAAGTGACACTTTGTTCATTTCCGTTTCAATTTGCTTTGCAAATTAAGAAAATCTCTAGGACCTCGTAGGTGTGGGTGGGACAAGGAGTTCCTGAGATTGTGGTAGGGGGTGAGAAAGAGTTTTCACGTGTTTGTGTATGTATATTGACAAATAAAGGCAATACAAACCGTAAGACGTCTAAGGCTTGATTCCTTCTCTGAACCGCTACCAACAACGACAACAATCTCACACTCAAACATACACACACACATACACAATTAGGCAGGCAGGAGCACTAAAGCCCACTTTTACACTGGTGGGTTCTTGAAGGTGGGGCTGGGTGTGTCTACCACTCCCTAGGACCCTCCCATGCCTGGGCGGGGCTTCCTCGGAAGCCAGGCTTATATAAGGAAGACAGGTCCTCCCACCACTGCTCACAATCAGCAGCCTGTCAACCTGGTAGCATCCACTCTGTCCCAGAGAGTCCACAGAGTGTCTTGCAGAAACCAGACGACAGCTGTTCCTGAACAAAGAACTGTGGAGCCCAGGCCCATAACCTGCCTCGGACCTTGTTGTGCACTGGCAACCGCAAACGAGGGCAAGAGCGCATTGCCACCAACATGCTGAAAATGCCTCCGCGAAGCCCCAGGGTCTACCCGGTGCCCTGCTGGGACCCGCAGCCAGAAGACGCCAACCCTGCCAAGCGCCGCCGCCTCCAGGAGCCTGCCTGCCTCGCCTCGTTGGCACAGCCAGACCTGGAAGCATCCGCCAGGCCAGCCAGCAAAGAGCTCACGTCCACGGTGGTCATTCCCACCGGATGTGCCATGCAACTACGCGTGCAAGGCGTCGACCTGCTGCTGGAGCCCGAACCGACCTCGGTCAGGCGAGTGTCGCTACCTGGACATACCATCATCCTGGTCCCCGAAGGCCTCCAAGCCTCCTCCCAACCTGGGCAGGCTGTGTTCTGGCCCGCCGGCACGCAGGAGGCCCCTGTCCCGGACATGCTCCAGGACCACCACGTCTTTGCCCTCGACCAGGGAATCAATGGTGCCGAGAGGTATGCTCCTGGCTCCATCTGGAGCCTCAAAAGCAGCACGCGCTGGCCTCTACCCAGCCCGCAACTGCAGCCTCTCCCTCCATCTCCTCCTCCAAGTCATCAAGAACAAACCTCTGAGAGTCCTCAGAAGCCTCCACGGCCACCGTGCAAGGCCAAGAGGCGCCTCTTCTAGGACAGGGACGACGACTGCACCCCAACNTGCCCCGAGACACCCAGTAACCTACCATTGAGACTGGGCGAACAGCGAGTCCTTTTCGCTGCACATTATGGAGGGGAGAAGAGAAGGACTTGGAGAAGGGTGCAGACACTGGATCTCACCCCTCAAGCTCAAAAGCTGCCTAGGAGAGACAGAAAGTTCTCTTCCAGTTCTGGGATTCATCTCAAAACCTTCCCTGCCACCTCCTCTGCACGGGTGGTTCCCTCTAAGAACCCTGGCGACCCAATAATGGATCCCAGGAACCAAGGCAGCTGGCATTGCTAGGCTGCCAGTCTCCTTTCTGTGTTCCCCTGACTGGAAGGAAAACTGTGCCTGCCTTGGTCCCCCTGGACAGTTCAAGCTGCTCTCTGGGGAACTGACAAATACCCCAGTCAAAGAAGATCTTTCCTTGCCCTGAGTGGACGGTAATTCTTGGCTTCTTCGCAGCCATCCCTTCACCTGCTGGAGTGGTTTCTCTTTCTTTTTTTTTTTCTTTTTTTTTTTTTTTTTTTTTTGTTTTTCGAGACAGGGTTTCTTGTGGTTTTGGAGCCTGTCCTGGAACTAGCTCTTGTAGACCAGGCTGGTCTCAAACTCACAGTGATCCGCTTGCCTCTGCCTCCCGAGTGCTGGGATTAAAGGCGTGAGCCAACACCGCCCTGCTGGAGTGGTTTCTCTTCACAGACTTCCTGACAATCAGGGCTACATGGAGAAACCCTGACTTGAAAAACAGACAGGACAGCTACTGAAGAAAGCAGTTTTTATGGTCCTTTAGTTCGCTGCCTTTGAGAAGCCGAAGATACCAGATCTCTGTGAAGTCCAGCTTGCTATCCAACAAAAACTCAAATTTATTTCTTACTGCAAAATGCCCTTTTTCAAAGCAATGTTTCTAATTCCAAAATCACTTATTATTAATAAAATATATAGACCATAGTATATGGTATGTTTGTATGTATGTGTGTGTATGTATGTGTGTGAGAGAGGGGTGGGTACAATGTGGGTGGTGGGGCATGCCTGTCATGACCCAGGAGTTGGAGCCCACACTCAGAAACAGAGAAAGTTCAAGGGTTAGCTGGGCTACATCGGGCAATGTGAAAGATATCAGAAAAGAAGCATGGCCAGAGAGGTAGCTCGGCACTTAGAATAAAGCTTCTCTCTCAACCTATGGGTGGAGAACCCTTTGAGGGGTGAAACGACCCTTTCCTACGGGTACCGAATTAAAGAACCTGCACATATTTACATTACAGTTCACACCCTGGCGAAATTACAGTTATGAAGAAGCAACCGAAATAATTTTATGATTTGGGGGTCACCACAACATAAGAACCTGTTGAGATTTAAGAAGCTTGAGAACCACTGACATCAAAGGACTTCGTGCTCTTGCAGCATCCACATGAAGAAGACCCTTGATGATACAAGATAATGGACATCCTCTCCAACCCAGGCTCTTTCATGCCTGCAGTACACAAAAGCCAGCACAGGCACACACACGTGCACATGAACAAAAAAATAGTAAATAAATTAGAGTTGAACAAAATACAGAATAAAATCAGAGGGTAAGAGGACCTTCGTAGACAGAGCTAGTGAGGTGTATATTCTTGGTTCTCAACTCGATCAGACCTCGAATAAACTAAAACACCTGTTTTAGGAACCAGGCTAATCCTGGGCTATTTGTCTGGATTGAGTAATTGGAAGTAGGGAGCCCCACCCTCAGTCCAGTCCTTGGGTGGTGGAAAGACACCAGCATAGCAAGTGAAGGCACTCCATGCATTCCAGCCTTTGGGAGGAGGAGGCACTCCATCCCAAGACCAAAGTTATCCTCACTCCATCGTGTGTTTTACACCAATTGTGATGGTTGCAGGACTTGGTGAAAAGACGTGCTAGAGGGACTTCAAAGTCCTTAGGGCCCACTGAGCAATCGTTAGGAAAAGGAATAGAGCCTGCAAGAGATGAGCTTAGTGGGGCATCAATGAAATAAAAATCTACCTCTCACAGAAGTAAGAACATAATAATGGTGCTATGGGACAATGGTTTGTAGCCTATCAATTGTATTTTAATAAGACATTGATTAGCCTTTAGCCAGGCAGGAAGTATAGGTGGGACCACCAGACAGGAAGTAGCAGCTGGTCAATGAGAACAGGAGAATTCTGGGAAGAGAAAAGCTTGGTCTGCCATCCTGACCCGGCCACAGAGCAAGCAAGATGTAACTGCCTCACCAAAAAAAAATGGTACCAAGCCTTGTGGCTACCATAGACAAGGATAATGGGCTAATATAAGTTATGAGAGTTAATAAGAAGCTTGAGCTAGTGGGCCAATGAGTTTATAACTAATATAGACCTCTGTGTGATTTTTTTTTTGGGACTTAATGATTGTGAGAACTGGGCAGCACAGAAAACTCAGTCAACCAATGGTACCCACGTGGACGACTGCATCCACATAAAGCCTGAGAGAGCTTGGGAAGTTATTCTAGACAGAAATGAATATAGTTAAGCATAGCTTATTGATAGCAGCATTTTCTCAGGTGGGCTCTGTTTGCTAGAGGCAAATGTGTCTCATTTAAGAGAGGCTTCCTGATTCAGCTTTAGCTGTAAAACCTTGCAGCTCTTTTAAGAGGTTCTGCCATGAAACACTTAAGTGGTATTAATGAAAAGCTGACTGCATGCTTTTTGGTTTTCAGCCATAGGAGGAAAAAAGCCACACCATTTTAAAATGCCTTTTTTTCTGGGCGGTCATGACAATGCAAACTCTGACTCTTTCAGGCAGGTGGTCTGGCTACAGATCATTTGAGTGTGGTATGTGAGCACACTGCTGCAGCTTATTTGGTTTCAGGGACCTTGAAACGCCATAGAGTTATAACAATAAACATGGCTATAGCAGGTACCTCTGCCATGAAGCTGGAATCTCAGAAAGCTAAAGAATGGGCTGGATCCAGCCATCACAGCCACCACTTTACACCTGCCCATACTACTTAGCAAATTATAGACCCATGTGGTCAGAAAAAGAGATAGAGAGAGAGAGATACAGTAAAGATAGATTCAAAGATGAAAAAAAAACTCTAAATGGCTTACAGTGTGTTAAAAAAAATATACATGCAGGCTTGGGAGTAAAATAAAAAAGGTTAAAGTCCTTAAATAAAAAAGAAAGAAAGAGAGTAGTTGGGTGTGGTGCACACACCTTTAATCCCAGCACTTGGGAGACAGAGGTAGGCAGACCTCTGTGAATCCAGTGTGTGGTGGCACACACCTTTAATCCCAGAATTTGGGAGGCAGAGGCAGGCAGATCTCTGTGAATCCAATGTGTGGTGCACACACCTTTAATCCCAGCATTTGGGATGCAGAGGCAGGCAGATCTCTGTGAATCCAGTGTGTGGTGGCACACACCTTTAATCCCAGCATTTGGGAGGCAGAGGCAGGCAGATCTCTGTGGGTTCAAGGGCAGCCTGGTCTACAGAGTAAGTTCCAAGACAATGATACACAGAAAAACCCTGTCTCAAAAAGCCAAAAATTACAAAATAAAAATAAAAGAAATAGAGTTTAATATAAAGCTACATGAAGATGAAAAACACAGAGAGTTGGGATACTGTATGCTATTATGCTCTCATTGAATTGTTTGAATGCTGAGGAAGGAGCAACAGCTGCTAAAAGATATTTGCTTATAAATGCTGCTAAATTAATCCAAGATTGGTATTTTGTTTGTTTGTTTGTTCATTTATTTATTTATTTATTTATTTATTTATTTTGCTTTTTTGAGACAGGGTTTCTCTGTGGTTTTGGGGCCTGTCCTGGAACTAGCTCTTGTAGACCAGGCTGGTCTGGAACTCACAGAGATCTGCCTGCCTCTGCCTCCCAAGTGCTGGGATTAAAGGCGTGTGCCACCACCGCCTGGCTCAAGATAGGTATTTTGAAAATAACTTGACTTTAAAACTGAAGTCAAAAGTTATTTTACTTTTGAGGAGAGATTTTGCTTTTGTTTCCACAGGAAATGAGAGGCTGTGGATCTATTCTGAGTTAAGAAAAATCAGGTTTGATCAAGGAAGACCACCGTAGAAATCTCTGATAGGAACAGATGGCCCAGATGTCTGAGTTCTACATCCAGAACAGATTCAAGACTGCTGCCTGAGATGATCAAGACTCACAGGATACACCAGTCATGACTTGATCATAATTTTAAATTTTCTTTAAGTCCCCATAAGATTATCAGCGCCCCAACCAGCAAGAAGTAGCCTTGAAAACCATGCCCACATTCCCCAAAAAAAATGGACTATGGATATTTTCCTTTGTTTAGAATGTTAGTTTCAAGTTGTTATGAATAATGGTCAGGAGAAAACTAAACAAAGAACATTAGATTCAGAGTTTTCATTATTTTTTTTTTAAAAAAGAAGGGGGGAGTGCTGTATGACAATGTAGCCTGTCAATTGTATTTTAATAAAATGCTGATTGGCCCGTAACCATGCAGAAAGTACTTGCAGGACAACCAGACAGAAAGTAGAGACAGGTCAATGAGAACAGGAGAATTCTGGGAAGAGAAAAGCTTGGTCTGCAGTCCTGACCTAGCCACAAAGCAAGCAAGATGTAACTGCTGCGCCAAATACGGTACCAAGCCACATGGGTAGCATAGACAAGAATAATGGGCTAATATAAGTTATAAGAGTTCTTAAGAAACCTGAGCTAATGGGCCAATGAGTTTATAACTAATGTAGACCTCTGTGTGGTTTCTTTGGGGCTTAACAATTACGGGAACCAGGCAGGACAGAAAACGCAGTCAACATAATGATACCCAGTATTTTCTATAGATGTTAGAAGAAGGAAAGAACACAGGTAGGGGAAATTTTGGGCAGATCTTTTTTCCAAAATGTTTACTCTCCAGGGCAGACAGAATGATCACATGACTGTTTTCCTGTCTTTTAACATATTTTCAAATTGGATATGAATATATCCATGTAGTAAATACAGAGAATTATTATTTAAGTGGTGAGGAAATTTCAATGAAAATGAAACTGAGAAAGTGTGGCGACGTCTACTATCAACTCACGGCTATGCAGCAGCCACACTGAACACAAGACAGGGTCAGCTGACCCCCGTTAGATATAAATACATGCATGCATACATACATACACACATACATACATGATCCTAAAAAGGGGCCAGTAAGTCACCCTGAAATATAGTGATTTTCAAGCATGTGTGAGAATATGCTCAAAGAAGAGAGAGGAAAGAGAGAGAGAGAGAGAGAGAGAGAGAGAGAGAGAGAGAGAGAACAGAGAGGGAGAGGAAGACAGTCATAAAGAGTAAACATGGTATCAAGTGTCAAACACAGATAGAATACAACAAGATGACAGAAATGGAAGGGATAATATCAAAGATCCCACTTATATAGCAAGCAGGTCTGTGCTTAATTGTCATTTTCAAAACCAACAAGTTGTCCACTTTGAGAGTTTTCTTTCTCACCTGTGACCTGGGAGGATCAACTAAATGTTGGAGACATGATTTCACGCTTGCAGACTAGTCTTGAATTCATTGAGCACATGAACTGGCCTAGTACACATCCAGCAGCAGGCTGGCCTTGAACTACTAATCTTCCTGTCCTCATCTCCCTCATCCTGGGATTAAAGGTGTCCTAAAGTCCTCACATTAATCCTTTTTGGATTTCGTTTGGGAATCAAGGCCATTGGCCTCCAGAACCCTAAGCTATCATTGGGTTTTGTCTTAGATCAATTATTTACAGTCAGTGACAGATATGTCCTTGTCGATTTTCAATTCCAAACAGCCATGTTAAAAAAACAAAAAAGTATCCACTTGTATTTCCAAGCTTGACCTCCAATGAAAACCTCAAGTGACACTTTGTTCATTTCCGTTTCAATTTGCATTTGCAAATTAAGAAAATCTCTAGGATTTCTTAGGTGTGGGTGGGACAAAGAGTTCCTGAGACTGTGTAGGGGGCAGGAAAAGAGTTTTCACGTGTTTGTGTATGTATATTGACAAATAAAGGCAATACAAACCGTAGGAGATCTGAGGCTTGATTCCTTCTCTGAACCGCTACCAACAACGACAATAATAACCTCACACTCAAACATACACACACACATACACAATTAGGCAGGCAGGAACACTAACGCCCAAGCGCACACTGGTGGGTTCCTGAAGGTGGGGCTGAGGTGTGTCTTCCACTCCCTAGGACTATCGCATGCCTGGGCGGGGCTTCCTTGGAAGCCAGGCTTATATAAGGAAGACAGGTCCTCCCACCACTGCTCACAATCAGCAGCCTGTCAACCTGGTAGCATCCACTCTGTCCCAGAGAGTCCACAGAGTGTCTTGCAGAAACCAGAAGACAGCTGTTCCTGATCAAAGAACTGCAGCGCCCAGGCCCATGACCTGCCTCGGACCTTGTTGTGCACCGGCAACCGAGAGGCAAGAGTGCATTGCCACTAACATACTGGGAATGCTACCGCGAAGACCCAGCACCTACCCGACGCCCTGCTGGGACCCGCAGCCAGAAGACGCCAACCCTGCCAAGCGCCGCCGCCTCCAGGAGCCTGCCTGCCAGTGGTTGCTGGCACAGCCAGACCTGGAAGCCTTCTCCAGGCCTGCCAGAGAGGAGCTCACTTCCACGGTGGTCATTCCCGCTGGCTATGCCGTGAAACTACGGCTGGAAGGCATCGACCTGCGGCCCGACCCCACTTTGGTCACGAAAGTGTCGCTACCTGGACATACCATCATCCTGGTCCCCGAGGGCCTCCAAGCCGCCTCTCAATCTGGACAGTTTGTGTTCTGGCCCCCCGGCACGCAGGAGCCCGCTGTCCCGGACATGCCCCAGGACCATGACGTCTTTGCCCTCCACCAGGGATTCAATGATCCATCTCTATCGTACATCGAAGGCTTTGCAAACGTCCCTGACCCACAGGAAGACTCTCAAGAAAACTTTGTGATGCCGTGGATGAATGCTCCAACTCGCATGGCCCCCTTCACGGGCGTGTTCATCCCCCTGTTCCAGGGTCAAATGCCATGTCCTTGGAGTGCAAGCTACCCTCCTAGTGCAGGGAGATAGATATGCTCCCTGGTCTCTCTGAAGCCTCAGAGGCAGCATGTTGTGCCCTCTGCCCAGCTCGCCACTGCAGCCTCTTCCTCCATCTCCTCCTCCGAGTCACCAAGACCAAACCTCTGAGAGTCGGCAGAAGCCTCCAAGGCCTAGGTGCAAGGCCCAGAGGCGACTCTTCTAGGAAAGGAACGGCTTCTTCCTCAACAAACGGCACCTTGAACACCTACCTGGGCACCCTAGGGGATTCCCAGGGTGCCTCAAGTTACCCAGTAACCTACCATTGAGGCTGTATGCACGCTCACAAGTGCTTTTTGCCTTTTCGCTGCACACTACGCATGGGAGAATATTAAGACATCGAGAAACGTGCAGACACTAGATCTCACCTCTGATGTTTAAAAGCTGCCTTCCAGAAACAGAAAGTTATCATCTAATTCTGGGATTCATCTCAAACTTTCCATGTTGCCCTCCTTGGCATAGGTGGTTCCCTCTAAGAACAACAGCGCCCCTTTTTCTCCCAAACCAAGGCAGCAGTGGCTTGGCTTTGATGCCGGGTTTTGTTTTGTTTGTTTGTTTTTGTTTTTGTTTTTGTTTTCTGTGTTCCTTCCCCTGACTGGAAGGAGAATTGTGCCTGCGTTGGTCCTGCTGGACAGTTGAAGCTGCTTTCTGGGGAACTGATAAATACCCCAGTCAAAGAAGATGCTTCCTTGCCCTTAGTGGACGATGATTCTTGGCTTCTTCGCAGCCATTCCTTCACCTGCTGGAGTGGTTTCTCTTCACAGACTTCCTGACAATCAGGGCTACATGGAGAAACCCTGACTTGAGGACAGACAGACAGGCAGACCGACAGGCAGACAGGACAGCTCTTGAAGAAACCGGTTTCCATGGTCCTTTAGTTTGCAGCGATTGAGAAGCCGAAGATACCAGATCTCTGTGAAGTCTGGCTTGCTATCCAGGAAAACTCAAATTCATTTCTTACTGCAAATTGCTCTTTTTCAAAGCAATGTTTCTATTTCCAACATCACTATAAATTAATAAAATATAAAGAACATAGTATGTGGTGGTGGAAATGGGTTTATGAGAGAGAGTTTTGTCTTTGTGTGTGTGTGTGAGAGAGAGAGAGACAGAGAGACACAGAGACAGAGAGAGATTACATTGGTTCATTCACCTGACATACAACATGTTCCCTGAACGCTGAGAGGGGCATCACTATGGAGTCTTTGTTCGACAGAGAATGTTACTGAGCACACAGCACATTTTGATGCCATTACTGGCTGCAAGACTTTATAGGATCCCCAAGGAAGAGGGCCGAGGTTGCTGTGAGAGCCAAAGTTACATCTTTAAGTCTTGTGTGAGTTTTTTTTTTTATTTTTTGTTTGTTTTGGTGTTTTGAGATGGTTTTCTCTGTGTTGCTTTGGATTCTGTCCTGGAACTAGCTCTTGTAGAGCACACTGGCCTCAGACTCACAGAGATCCATCTGTCTCTGCCTCCTGAATCCTGGGATTAAAGGTGTGTGCTACCACTTCCCAGCCATTTTCACTTTTAATTACTGCTTAAAGAGATCAAAGAAACAAACATGCCTCTGATCTGCTAGCCCCTGCCCACGGACAGACCCTTACTGAAATGCTGGAGGCTATTATTTATGGAAGATAACAAGCCACAGGGATTTTCACTCCCCTAAACAAGTTTGTTTGCCCCAGCTGCCCCCACTTGCTTGATCACTATGGGTGGGAGGTTCACAGACTGTAAATGTGTCAGGATGCATGCTTGTTCCTGATTGGACCTGATGAGAAATGCAATGAATTATGGGGTTTTTTTTTTCTTAAGTCACTGCAAACTGTGTTTCTGGTCTCTTTCCCAGGAACCTGGTTATGGTCCTGGCCAGAGCCCATCCACCTAGTCAATATTTAATTAAAGCTTTCTTCAAACTTGGCTTTAAACTGTGGTAGTGGTCTTATTCTGGATCGGTGGGATTCCCGGTTGCCTCCATTTGTAGCACCTCAAATCCTGCACCCTTCTCTCTCCCCAAATAATCATTTACTCCTAAATAATTAAAATTTTTTCATTTATTGACTACTTATTATAAACCAGAGGTTTTATTTGCATAGCCTTGCTCCTCTGAGCTCTCTACCACACAGAAATATCAGCTTCATTTTCCTAGGCAGCCAATTAGATATATCCACAGAGCCAAGATTTAAACAGAGTTTTATTATCATGATACCTCACTTTGTTGACTCCTGTTTGTCACCTTCTTGGGACAATGTGAGCCTCTGACAGGATACTGATGGGCCCTTGGCAGGTGCCTCTTCAATGGTGAAATAGTAGCTGCAGGTGAAGAAGCTAGCAACAAAAAGTATCAAAAATCTGATCCTAGGCTGTAGATGGAGCTCAGTGGAAGTTCAGATAAATGAAACACAAGTGGAAAAAAGAATTTTGAAGAATGGAAAGATGGTCTATTAGCTATGTGTAAACTTCAAGAAACTTGGTCTACATGTAAGGGAGTCACTGGAAGAGAGAGCAGGAATGGGGAACTAAGAACTACTTGAATATACTGTACAAATATATTGAGAAATTATTTTAAGATAGTAAATACAAGTTTTCCAGAGTCACTGAAAGCTACAATCTACTGTTGCGGAATATAATTTTAACTAGGGAAGGATGTGTTACGTTTGTTTATGCTGCATTTGTTTAACTATGCAAAGATGCTTTGCTTTGCCTGCCTAAGGCACATGATTGGGTTAATAAAAACCGCACAGCCAATAGTTAGACAGAAGAGGGACAGGAGGGCTGGCAGGCAGAGAGAATACGTAGAAGGAGGAATCTAGGCTCAGGAGAAAAGAGAGAAGAGAGGATGAGGAGAAAGAGAGACAACTAGTGATGCCTTTTATATAAAACTCCAGACAATGCAAAATATCTAGGGTGAAAGGAAGAGATAGGGTTATACAGAAAGAAGTTACTTAGGAGCACAAGGAGGGCAAGAGATGGCTTGGGTAGTAAGGAGCTTCACACAGAAGCACAGGACCTGAGCTCAAACCCCAGAACCCACATTAAAAACAGACATACTGGTACAGGACTGCAATCCCAGCTCTGGAGAGGCAGAGACAGGAAGATCTCTGTGGCTGGTCAGCTAGTCTTTCCAATATCGGGGAGCTCCATGTTCACTGTGAGACAACATCTCAAAAACTAGGGTAGAGAGCGGCAGAGGAAGGCTCCTGGAGTCAACCTCTGGCCTCCACCCACATGCATGCACACCCACATACACAGGAACACGCACACATGCACTATGCCCCCCACAGCCTCCAAATATAGATAGAAACATAAGGAAACTTTTGGTATGATGGTTATGGTCATCGCTTTGACTATAGATGTACTTATATGGTGTATATATGTCAAAATTTAGCAAATGATATGCTTTAAATATGTGCAGTTTATTATATGCTAATTTATCTAAATGAATCTGGTTGTTTGCTGCTTGTGTGTTACTTTATGTAAGAAATCTATCAACTCCACTGAGGAATCATGAATGGGTGTGTGTTCCATATTCTTCTCTTCTGGGCCCATGTACATTGACTAGAGCTAAGAAGGGTTGATTTCTGGCATCACTATGAGGCACACCCACATAGAGGCAGCTCACGGGACAAGGATGTTTCCTAGGGCCATTTAATGGATGAGAATTGACTTACTAAAGCAGCCAGAGACATGTGTGAGATCATGCTTAAACAGCCATTCATTTCCCTGGAGTATTATTTCAGATCAATCCATCTCAATATGAACTGTTTTCAAATGTAGAATAAATAGCACCAACTAAGATGAGGAGAAAGGACGACGGTGACAGTGATATTGACAACTGTCATGACAGTCATGACAGCCTTCGCTGTTTGGTGGCCACTGACACATGGGTCTGCAATCCCAGTTCCTGAGGCAAAATGGGAGCCAGAGACATGAGAATCCCTAGAAACATGTGGACCAGCTTGCCTGGTAAACACGGCCTCAAATAATAAGAGACTGTTTTTCAAACAAGGTGGAAAGTGGCAACTGACAATGAGGTTGTTCTCTGAGAGCCACAAACATGCATGCCCTTGTAGTCTCACACACATACGTGTGAGTGCACACAATACATGTGTAAGCCTAAAATAGCCACACATGCGCACAACACATGCTCACAAGTGTCCCTTGAACATGCATATACATGTGCATGGCCACACAGTCAAATATACACATAGGCTTACATTTGGGACATTCTGAGGATGTACACTTTGCCCTTCTTGTTCTGGCTCTACACAGACAGCAATCAAGGCACACCACTTCCAGACTGCCCAAGACATGGCCTTGGGAAACTTCAGGACACTGAAGTCCAAAGTCTAAAGAAACATGCACAGATCTCTGCTTTGGGAACTAGAGTCATCACATGTATCAGTTTCCCATGAAAGAAATTGCCGATGGGCTTATTAACCTTTAAAAAAATCCCAGATCTCAGTCCAAAGGACTTCCTGAGTCCAGGCAGAATTCAAAAATAGCCTCATGACAGACTACCCGGTTCTGAGGCGATGTGAGTTACTTTCCGGAAACCCAGGCCAACATGTCCCTCAGACAAAATGTTCCACATACCAAACCCGACAACAGCCAACTCTCAGGATCAGAGGGGCCAAGCATCATCTATTAGAGATTATGTCCATGATGGTTGTGACGTACATAGGTGATTGATCTAGGGTTAATTCACCGGGGTGGCAAGAAGGATCCAGCTTCAGGGCCTTTGACATTTATGCCCCAGTGCTATAGGGCATAGTGTACGTCCTTCATCTCAGACAAACGCAGCCTTGGCTGGCAGATGTGAAAGTGTAGTTCAGTGGATGCTGTCGGAACAGACAGAGTGTCATGCGGAAGACTAGAGATAGGTGGGTAATGCCAGGGGATTAGATGGAAAGTGGCTCCACCAACCCTACGTTCTCACAGACCCTCACCCCTGCTTTTCCCTTCTCAGAAAAGACTGCATCATTTCTAGAAGACTCTAT